CCTTGGTTCTGTCTTCCAGGGCAGCTATGAGTCGCATCATGCCTGCATTTTACTTTTGCAGCAAGCCAAGGGCCGCATCAGTGGCTGCCTGTGCCAACTTTGCAGCTCCCACCTCTCCCTCCGTTGTGGATAGTCTGCTGGCTAGTGCATTTACTTCCTCCACCACAGCTACATCATCCTGGAACATGGCTCTGAGCTCCTAGAGTAGGGCATTAATGTGGATAGGAATGTGCCCCCCTTAGTGTAGGGGTCCCTGTGGCACTGCAGTTACCTTTGGAAAGGTGGACAGCCTTTCAGACAGACTTGCTTAATTTGAGGATACTGAGGGTGAGGTTTCCGCCGGCGCCATTTTGGGAGGCTCATGCCTAACAGGTTGGTGCAGGATGGTCCAGATATCTTGGTAACCATGGTTCGTTTCTGAAGTTTTTATTTTTCTTCCCTGTGTGTTTTGGGGATGGACTCTTCTGTCACGGGAGTTGTACAACAACATGCAGGAAAGAGAAAACCAACAAATGCTGGATTCGAAAGACGTGTTACCGAGCCTTAGATTGTCTGGACTTAATGTATAATGCAACAAGAAACAGGGTCAAGATAAATTAAGGACAAGATAACAAAAACACTCAGAGTAAAGACAAAGCCAGGTCAGAATACCAGAAATCATGAGTCAAATATGAAGCCGAGGTCAGGATACCAGAAATCACAAGTCAAATATGAAGCCAAATTCAAACACAGGAAATCACAAGGGAATATCTAGGAGCACTAAAAAAGGATTTAACAGAAACCATGAAAAGACTAAAACAAGCCTTAAATAGGCTACCTATGTTCTGATAGGTCCACGTCATCACTGCGATCCAAAACAGATTAGGATTGCATTAATGATGTGGCCATTTTAAGAGTTGGCGTGACATCACGTCCACATCTGCCGTGCGGCCGAGTGGCAGGAGGAGGTCTGTGTGGCTTGGCGGAGGTAAGTAATGCCACATCCTCGTCCTCGGGCTCCAGGGAGAAAGGTAATATTGCCGGTTACCACCATGGGAGTCCGCAGGAATTTTTCCAGGGGGGGGCATAATTGTAATGACATCCATGCTTGGTACCTTTTTGACAGTGTCATGAAAGGGAAGGGGCATAGCCATTACCATTATCATTATATAAAGCCAGGGTGAATAGAGTTTTCACAACTATGGTGTCAGGAATATATGTTTGTATTCCTGACACTATAGTGTTCCTTTAAGCAAATTAAAGAACCTTCTGGTCACCATAACAACTTCACCTAAATGAAAATGCTATGATGCCAGGAAGCCCCTGGGTGCTCGCTTTCCTTTAAGGGGTTAAATCGCTCTCAAATGGTTTAACCCAAAGGCTTCCTCCAGCCCCAGGTCGCTCAGTGGTATTTGGCTTCTGAAACAGAGTGTCAGGAAGTGCAGATTGACGTCAGGCATGGGTGCCGCTGATTGGCTAGAGTGGACAGTTGACGCTCTAAGCCAATCGCTAGTTCCCGGTTCATAAAATATTTTTACTTTTTTATGAATGGGGAGCTACTGATTGGCTTAGAGTGCCAGCTGACCGCTCTAGCCAATCAGCAACACCCCTACCCAATGGCACTCTGTGCTTCCTGACACTCAGTAAATAAAAGTGAACACATTAATACTGATGTTTTTTTACCTTTGGAGATGAGAAGGTCCAGCGTTTCCCTGCCTGGGCCCTCTCCTTTTCCTCTCCTTCATTTGACAGTGTTTTTTTTTCTTCTGACACTGTTTTCTATCCTTGGCCCCTTCTGCTCTTTTACCTTTCTGCTACTTTCTGCTTATTTAGTGCCCTTCTGCTCCATTCTCATTCTGATCCCTTTCTGCTCCCTTTTCTACTTTACCTTTGTGCTCCCTCTGATTCTTTCTGCTCCTTTACCTTTATGCTCCTTCCTGCTCCTTGCAGGCCCTTTCCACTCATTCTCCTATTTTACCTTTGTGCTCCTTCTGCCCCTTCCAGCTCATTTCTGACCCTTTCTGCTCCTTCTACTTTACCTTTGTGCTGCTTTACATTCCAGCTCCTTGCTGACCCTTCCTGTTCATTTCTGTTCCTTTGTGCTCCTTCTCCTACTTTACCTTTTGTGCTCCTTGCTGTCCCTTCCAGCTCCTTGCTGCCCCTTGATGTCCCTTCCTGCTCATTTCTGTTCCTTCTCCTTTTCTTACTTTACCTTCTTGCTCCTTGCTGATTCTTCATGTAGGCTGTCTCCCCCATCCCTCACTTCCATAGGCGTGCGCATGGGGTGTGTCGGGTGTGCCTGGGCACACCCTAATCCCGCGGCACGCCAATGGACTGAGACCGGCAGGGGAGATCTCTGGATCTCACCAGTCGGCTCATGCAGAGCCGACGCTATCCGAGCGGCGGCTCTGGTCTAAGCCTCCATGGGCCGGTGGGGAGATCAAAGTTCTACCTCACCGGTCCACAGCAGCATGGAGGGAGGTAGCAGAGAACCCGGGCTAGAGTTCACTCTCCACTGAACCACCAGGGAAGGCAGCAGGACTGGGATATTAACTAATCTGCCCCCACCTCCACCCAAACATACAGCACACACACACAGCACACACAGCCCACAAACAGCACCCACACACATACAGCACACTAACAGCATCCTCACAAACACACAAAACCCACACACAACACCCGCACAGCACCCACACACAAACAGCACACTCACACACAAACAGCACCCTGACAAACACACAACACCCACACACAGCACACTAACAGGACCCGAACAAACACGCACACACAAACACCCTCTCACACACACACACACACAGCACACTACCAGTTCCCTCACACACAGCACACAAACAGCACCCTCACACACACACAGCAGTGTGTGATGACATGCCTCTCATATATACACACACACACACACATACTATATACATGGCGTGTGTTTGTTAGCTTTAGAATTACACCCCAATAGGCTGCTGCGCCTATACTCACTTCTAATATAAAATTACCCCCATGCCTCACTCCTGTCCATAGGCTTGCTGCCCCAGCCTCACTCCTAATCTATAGGATACTTTACTCACTCCTAATCTATAGGCTGCTGCCACCCGCAAGGCCTCACTCCCTAATCTATAGGCTGCTGCCCCCCTCACTCCCCTAATCTATAGGATGCCACCCTCACTCCCTAATCTATAG